GTAGCGTGGCACTTGTTACTACTAGCGAGGCACTTGTTCCTAGTAGCTTCTTGTTACTACTAGTTGGGCTTCGGATTTTCGGGGTTCCTGGATGTCGAGGTTCTTGTCGATGTTGGGACTTTTGGAGCCTTCAGCTACGTGAAGACAGCCTGGTTGCCAGTCCTCGATCCTGTTGGGGTGGGCCACGGCATGCGGCGGCCCCAAAGTGGGAGATGGGGAGAAAAGGTTGTACCGGGTTGGTTGAAGGTTTTGCTTGCTTCATGTGGTTTGCTTTATCTTTCTGCAACTCTTGCTTCTTGTTTCGTCTAAGGGTGCTTGCTCTTCAAGATTCTGTGTATGTTTCTCTCCTGGCTTTCTATTTTCCTATGAATATCCATGGCGAGCTAATGTCTGACATAACTTCAAACAAGACCTCCGGAATCCCGCATGTTCGGAACACGGACAACCAGTACTCCGTTGGAAGATAGGACCAATTCCTTTAGGAAGCCATGCCGCCGACTTGGTAGAAAACATAAACACAGTGCATCTAACTGCATGGTCCATGAACTGTTCGTTCCTGTTCTCACTCAGCAAGCGTATTTAAGCACTGCTCCAGTCCAGGACTGCTCCAAGCCCTACCAGTCCAGTACGTACATCGCTTCCAGTTCAGTGGATGGCCGTGGACTGAAGCACAACCAAACAAAGTCCAGCAAAGAAGACAAGTGGATGCTCCGGCCCTTCAATTCATGCTACAGAATCTATAGAACCGTCTGAAAGACTTGGCATAATCATGCACGGTTCATATACCTGGATCTATAGAATTTAGATTCACCTCACAGGTGAAGATGGCGACCTCAGGGTCTCGATCTTGCGACAGCTTTGTGGAATTTACCGAAAGCACTACCGAAAACTACCGAGATATCTATGTCGATTATACAGTAGCTTCTTGTTACTATTAGCGATGCCCTTTGTTACGAGAGAGCCGCTTGCTCCCGTCGCCTTGTAGGCCATGGCGACCTTTTCCATCAGCTCTTCTCGACTCCGTCGAATCACCTGCGGCAGTCGTTTCCGGCGGCCAGGTCCAACCGAAATCACCCAAGGGTTTGCTTAACACACAATAAATAGAAGTATATAGGATGATCAAATGCAGAATCTAAGTCTTCTTTTGCCATTATTGACATAGTGTGTCTCGTTAGGATCAACCAAAGGTCTGCGTACCAAGCTCCATGAGTCTTTGCAAAGCTGGTTCTACCAAGTTGTCCATCTCTTCACCAAGCGGATCAGAACAAATAGTCGTCGTGGCGAGGTGGGTCGCAGCACCCCCCGTAGCTGGCCGTGTCAACCGAGTCGAATGTGTTCATGGTGTTCCATTTTTGGTGTGGGTGGCCACACCCAAGTATTTGCGAAATCCACAGGTGTTTGTGAAATCCAACTCTCAAACGTTCGTTTCGCTCGGTTCTGCCTCTGCCACCAAGGGCTGCAAACGAGCATCCCACAAGCCAGCCTGGTGAAATGGTTGTTTTTATTTATTCCAAAGTTTTAAGGGTCTTTCAACAATGGTTCTCAGAAGGAGGGTTGAAGTGTTTCGGTGTTTGGTTTCAGCAAATCGGCAGGTGGTCTTGAGCTCTTGCTACTCGATGACCCGAGTCTCCACTTTGAGTGCAAGGTGGGCTAGCTAAACTCTGTTTGGTCATTTCAGACCAATCAGCTCTACCCATCAGGTTGCTGTTGCACACAAAGGGGCCCTGAAAGCAACATGATGTCGGATGTTGTTACAAAAGATTATCCATACGAGCAGCCACTGAGAATATCCGTGAGTTCAGCCACTCTGACAACTAACCCCACCCACTTATGCATGTAAGAGCAGGATATTGGCCGCTACTTAGCTGGCTCTGTTGCTGATGAGACGAAGGTGATTGGTGACATGTGAAGGCAAAGTGTTGGTATTTCGAGAGTTTCTGAGGCAACTCTTACTCATGGCCAAAGTTCGTTTTTCCAACATAGAAAAAACGAGTGTTTCTCTGGCGAGGCTTGACCAAATCAAGATAAATCAAGTACACCATGGACAAGTTGCCAAATGCTTATGGCATATGACTCATGACCCATTTCACACCAGCGACTGTTATTTGTTGCTTTCCTCGAGTGTGCGTTGTTTGGCCGTGAAACTGGTTCTAAGGGAGTGATCTAGATCGGCCGACAGGGAATGCACTCAGTCCTCATTCATCGCAAGCTTACTGGACAAATATGGACAAATGGTATGTACTTCAGATTTCAACTTGATTGACACGCTTAACATACATTACAACCAAAAACATTTACTGTATATGGTGCTTCGTAGTAGGAGTGCTAAAAATCAAACGGCACGCACACACCTCTGAGGCCAAAACTGTGAGTTGCGCAAAGCTCTCTGCGTACTGCCTGACAGAGGCCAGCCAGGCCAGCATGTCTGATTTGTTTTTAGATCGAACATACTCTACGTGCCATTCAGTATAAGCCCTCAGGACCCTTCCTGTAAAATGCCCATGACCTGGAATCACCTGGGCAAAAAAAAAGAGAACGCTCAGGTTGTGTCAGGTTGTGTCTGGGGTTGTGTCGATGTGTCCCTTCTGATTCGGAGCCCGATAGCCGCTAGCCCTGTTTATCACCTTCTAACATTTGCATTCAATTCCCAGAACCTGGCATCACCCTTGCCCATCTCCAATGATCCAATGGGGTTCTTGTACTGAATGAGGTTCTTGTACTCAAAAGCCCCAGAAACCTTCTGGCTCAAGCAAAAGCAACGTTTAAAATCTGAAAAAAGACACGCTCGTCCTTCAAGAAGTGGCGCCGGCCATATTTGAATTTACGCTCGGATTGGGGAAACGTCTGCCTGAGTTGTGGGTGATACTAGTGGCACCAAGACTCTTGAAGCTATATAATCATATAATCCCAAGACAACAAGTGCTCATTCTAAAAAAGGAAGAACAAGTATGCACGCATTTCAAGAAAATACTCAAAACCATGGTTTCCCAGAAATCAGCATGCTACACGTCTATTTCTTCCAGTTGTGTCCACTCACCAGCCCAAAAATGCCACTCTGAAACCAAGACGTACAACTCAACGTCAAGGGCTTCTGTCTAGGGACCGAGGGCGCAAGGAGGTCCTGTACTGCAAGGGCCACTGTAAAGGCGCAGTAAAATCGGTCCTGTGATGTCCTGGATCAAACAGCCACCTGCGCTCAGCTCAACTCAAAGTCCAATTGAGGAGCTGAAACCAGTTGTTTTTCGGATCTTTTCCACCCCTCCACTGGGTGGCCATCTGAAGTCCGGCCTCCGCCAGCGGGCCTGAAGGACCTGGGCCAGGCTTCTCATAGATTCTGGATGATTGACATGGATCTGCAAACTGAAAACTGCGCACCCTCTGAACAAGTCAGCCTTCGGAAGTCGACATACCCATGAAATCCCAGCCCATGTATGTATTGGAATTGTATGCTCCCTAGTCAGAGTCATTAAAATGGAAACCAGAGATGTACAATAATCAGCCTTCAGAAGTCGAAGACAACTCACCTGGCTTTACAGAAGCACAAAAGGTGTCTCCGCTCCAAAATGTTTGTGCACATCTGTCTGAGTCTGTGTCCCTTTTTAACTGGTTGCACCCAGGACTTGAATATTGGCACTTCAGTGGTCAAACACCACGTGAGCATCAAAGCCGTGTGCCAAGACACCCGATGGGCCGCTTGTGCTTGTGCATGCTGTTGCAAAGGCAAAGCTGTCCTTCAAATCCACCCAAATTGCGACGAAGTAGTCACACTCCCTCCAAGTGGTCATCTTCCACTGACCCAGCTCTTGCCACCGAACCGAAGGGAACGCAACTGAAACGACACGTGCGCCCCCTCTACATGGTTTTTGGACCGTTGCACCCCCTTGGCGCCCACCTCCAACGAGGTCCGTGTGCGGTGAAGGACCGGAGGATAGATTCATCTATGGAATACTATGAAATATGAAAATAATAACCATGTATCATAAAAAAATATATAGTACATTAAGATTGTCTTCTATTTTGTACTTGAGAGGAGGGAGACACGAAAGGTAGGACAGCGGGAAGAGAAGAGAACGCGAGAGGCAGGAACAAAAATGCAATGTTCGACATGGTGATTTATCCCCTCGGAGGCGACCTGTCGTAAATATATGTTCATATGCACTCTAAATGTTCAAACATATGCTCTCGAAATGGTCAAAAAGATTCTGAGGAAAACAAACTTGCCCCATGGCTCAGATCATCGGTGAGCATTGAATCGGAGCATCATAGGATTTGAACTATCCTGAAACCATAAGAGGCTCACGAAGACGTTCCCCAGGAGAGAATTGACGTGCTTCACAAAACAAACTCTAGGTATGTATCCCCTCGGGGAACACCTTTCGTGATTATGCACTCTTTCTGAATGTTCAAGAGGGTTTCAACTGTCCTGAAATCATGAGAGGCTCACGAAGACGTTCTCCAGGAGAGAATTGAATTTGGGGGGGGGGG